TTCTCTGCTGTGGCCTGTCCATCCTGGGTGGCCCTTCACGGCATAGCCCACAGCTTCATCGAATCGCGCAAGCCCCCTTGCCACGACAAGGCAGTGATCCATGAGGGGACACTACTAATACATTAACAGTTATTGTTTTTTACAGGTTAAGATGAAAGACGAGACAACTCGCAGAAGAAGCCAAAAGAAGATTTGTTTAATACTAACAAAAGATTAACATACTAATGAAAGCATCACCCAACCTTTTATTAATCCCACTATATACCTTCCCTCTTTCTGATTTTAAAAGCATAAACTCTCTCCTTTTTAGGGGCGTCAATTAAAAAAAAATCCAATCTTTTCTTCTCTTCTTCTTCTTCCTTGGCAGAGTGGAGATTCAAACCTGGTTCTCCTCCCAGATCCTAGTAGGACTAGGGTTGCCAACCTCCAGATGACAGCTGGAGATCTTCTGGGATCACAGCTGACCTCCAGGCAACAGAGATCAGTTCACCTGGAGAAAATGACTGCTTTGGAAGGTGGACTCTATGGCATTCTATCCCACTGAAGTCTCTCCCTTCCCCAAACATCACTGCCCTCAGGCTCCACCCCCCCAAATCTCCAGATATTTCCCAACCTGGAGCTGGCAACCCTAAGTAGGACACTCTAACCACTACAACACCTTGGCCAAAATAATATGACTGGTAGACTGTCTTCATCTTGGTGCAACTTAGTCAGCTGTGACTACCGGTAGTGCATCTTAGGGAGGATTCCAGCTCCCACGATGGCTGGGGGCCGGTATGGTATCCTTACAAGAGGGCATCAAAAGACAGTCATGGAGGTGATGGGGCCTCCTATGCATCATTAGGAAGGCCTCTAGTTGCCCAGTGCTGCCATCCATCCTGTAGCTATGTGTAGGGTTCCCAACACTGCCTTGGCAAAAGGCTGGAGATCTGGGTGGATTGTGGAGGGGAGGCTGGAGATCTGGGGGGATCTGGGGGGATTGCCTGGGGATTGTGGAGGCTGGGGACAATGTAATGCCACTTCTTGGTGACACTCTAGGCTGCCTCCCCTAGTCTCTCTGGTGCTTTCTAGAGCATTAGTATGAAAATCTAGAGCATTACTATGTGGAGGCCATTGTTTTCTTCCAGAACTCAGTTTCTCAGGGGTAGAAAATTGGGGCTGGATCGCATAATCCCCAACCCAGGAAAATGAGAGGCCTAGTTGGACCGAATCCTGGCCCAGCGCCTCCATTACCAGTTTTTGCCATCCCCTGGTAAGGACAACACATCACCCCCTCCTACAGTAATTATCAATAAGGGGGAATGGAATCCTCTCTGTTATTCCCCCGTATGGGCTGCTTTATAGTGCTACTTCCAGAGGAAAGGCACATCATAATAATTAATCTCAGAATACCATGGGAAAAATAAACTGACGGTCCTGGGTTTTGAGGAGTTTGTACAAGAGCACTGATCATGAAATTGCCTTAGGCAGGGCCTGAGCGTATGTTGCTCACGCAGACTGCGAAAATGTCTTTTGCGTGAAGTTCAACTAAGCTAGCAATCCGAATGAGACAGACGTGTAATAAAGATAGGAGGGCAGGAGCAGCTGGGCATTTGTATCATTATCTCCTTGTTCTGATTTCGCCTTGCCTGATGGTGACAACTCTAATTTCATATTCTTTTCTGTCAGTGACTGACAGCAGGGATGAAACCGATGCAGTCACCTTCCTCGCACTTTACAAGCGTCAATCCACTGACAGCCACGTTTTGTTCCTACTTTACCAACATTCACCTCTGAGAGACCAGCGGAAGGCATATTATAGTAATCCATCTCTCACTAAAATCCACAAATTAAACTGCCGCAGACAAATGTTCAAGGTGAGAACGCAGCTACACAATTCTCCCTCAAAATTCTCACCACGTTAATAGGTGGCTTGTTAAATGAATACCAAATTGCCTTCTACTGACTTAGACCTTTGGCCCACTGAAATCTACAGTTAGGTGGATCTAACTATCATTCATGTAGCCTTTCTCCAGTCCAAGGAGCAGGGTTGCCAGGCCTCCCTTGGCCACCAGTGGGTGATAGAGGGTAGGGTGGCCAGATTCAGGCTGGGAAACTCTAGGAGATGAAGCCTGGGCAGAACAGGGACCTCAGTGGGGTATAATGCCATACAGTCCGAGAAAGTGCCCATTTTCTCCAGGAAAACTTATCTCTGTAGTCTGGAGATGGGGTATTATTCCAGGGGATCCCCAGGTCCGGTCTTGAGGCTGGCATCTCTATTAAGGAGACTTCTTCCAAGTTAAGCTATTCTTCCTCCAATAGAAGAGCCACTTAAGCTGGAAGATGGCTCCTTAGATTGGAGGAAGGCCTTAGATTGGAGGAAGGAAAGATGGGATATAAATATTTTAATAAAGGGGGGGGAACACTTTGCTCAGTGGAGTGGTAAGATAGGGGTAGGATCCACCACAGTAACTTTAATGGAAAAATCTGCTGCAAGGAAATAGAAAAGGGTATGAAAGTGGATCCATTTCTAATGTGGAAAAATAAAAGCAAACTGAGCTCCACCCAGTCAGTTTTCCAAATGTGGTCTCATCCTTTGGCGAAACATCTGAGTGATTTCCAAGGAGGCCAAAAGAGTTTCCCTATCTTAGGTAAGTTTTGCACAACTCCAGGTGCATTCAGGAATCTGGGTGCGTGGTGGGGATATGAACTCTGCTGGCTACCCTACAGCATTTCAACCCTCCTTGTCGCAGAAGACCTCAATCACGTTTGAAACCTGTCCAAAAGATACTTGAGTGAATTGACACTAATTTGAAGGAATTTCCACTGTCGACAATTTGGACAGCCTTTCAACGAATTAACACAAGTTCTAGATTTGCTGGACAAACTTTCCCGAAAGTAATTAATGTTCAACATTTACAGACAGTTAGGTGAAGCTGACGTGTTCCTGGCAAGGGAATGCATGAAAGGCACCAGCTTTTGAAATACATTGACAGCCCTTAATCTTTAAACAAGAAGAGCTCCATTGAGGATGCAAAGCAGTAAATAAATTATTGAGTTCTCCTTGTGCTCCTCAAAAGTTGGATTATTTAGCGTTCTGGCAATCAAGGAGCCAAAGAGTAGATTCTCAGAACTCTTTAACCCCCCCCCCTTCATGTGATTATATCCTTGCATGCTTATTTACCTGTTTGAATATTAACCTGTCATATCCCTTGTAGCAGAGAACTTTTGCAACCGTTAGGAAGCATAACAAGGGCTAATGCTTAGTATCAGCTAATATGAAAACTAATCCTACAAGGAGCTACTGAAGGTGTAGTTGCCAACACCATGTTGCCTCCTTCCTCCCCGTGCTGATTCTGTACTCTCTTGCCGATGTTCCTTAATTTGCAGCATTTCTCCACTCCCTCTTTTTTACCTTTCCCCTATGCCATTCCATGCCCTCAGCTGCTTAGGAAGTCTCATGAAGACATCAAGCTGTTTTATACTCAGACATCATCGATCTATCCAAATTAGTATGGTCAACTCAGGCAGGGGTGTCAAACATAAGGCCCGGGGGCTGGAACCAGCCCATCCAGGGCTCTTATGTGTCCCACAAGCACCTGGTGCAAGGGAGAGAGTGCTTCAGCAGGGCAGAACAAACTCATCTGCAGCAGTCAAGCATTGTGGGAGCATCTGCCCAGTGCTGCACTCCTGCTTCTTCAGTCCGCCTATGTGGGTTTTCCTCTGCACTGCCCTCCCAGCCCATGGGGCCTTGCAGTGAGGATACACCGACTCAGAGCTTACCAGCTGCTGTCCTTTAGCCAGTTTGGTGTAGTGGTTAAGTGTGTGGACTCTAATCTGGGAGAACTGGGTTTGATTCCCCACTCCTCCACTTGCACCTGCTGATGTGACCTTGGGTCAGTCACAAGCTCTGGCACAGCTGTCCTTGAAAAAGAGCAGTTTGTGTCAGAGTTCTCTCAGCCCCAACCACCTCACAGGGTGTCTGTTGTGGGGAGGGGAAGGGAAAGGAGTTTATAAGCCGCTCTGAGACTCCAAGTGAAGGCCGGGGTATAAATCCGATCTCTTCTTCTTGTTCTTCTTCTTTATATAATTTCTATTTCTGGTACCTCGCATTATGTTTTATGACACACATGGCCCGGCTAATAAAATGAGATTTATGTCAGATCCAGCCCTTGTAACAAATGAGTTTGATACCTCTGGTCTACTGATCAGTAGCATCTCAGGTAGAGATTTTTCACATCATCTCCTAATGGAAGCTTTTAACTGGAGGTGCTGGGGATTGAACCTGTAACCTTCCACGTGCAAAGCAGATCCTCTGCCTCTGAACCGTGATGGCCTTCCCCTCAGTTGGTTGCTGCAGGGCACTGAGAAGTGTTCTGTCATGTGTATGCATTGCTGGTGTCTTCCCTCCTTTCCAAGGCTCAAAAGGACAGAATTTGTAATATAATGATGAAGAGCACAAGTTGCAATCTGTGAGGTTGCCAATTCAAATTTCATCTCAGCCACAAACCCATACAAACTCTGAGCAACTGAGAAACAGACACTAAGGAGAAGACGTTCTGGAGACCTTGACTACCTAGGGGCCCCATGGAACTGGGCAAGTTATGTCATTTATTTTCATGTGATGTTGGCTTAAGTCTGACTGGTGTGTGTGGAAATGTAGAGGCTGGGATTTGAGCTGGCTTTCAGAAATCCAGCATTCAGTGCCCCAAACCACTCTCCCTCTCAGCCCATCATCAGCAATATGGTCATAATTCTGGCTTTTGTACAGATTGCTAAAACAATTTATGTGATGGGCTTTGAACCCTGGGGAAGCCATATAAATACTGATGCTGCAGCAGCTCACATATTTTAGTGCTGTCCAACATAAGAGAGTGCTGAACCCAGTCCACATGTGGTTCAGGTCTTTCATCCATTTTACGAAATTTCTTTCATGCCTGGGTTGATGTGGTCCACAAGGTTTTGCTGGAACAGTTCAGTGTCTGAGGAGAAAATAGGGTCATGTAAAGCAAGAATTTCGGAATCCAATTTTTCTGGGAGTAGAAACATAAACTCTAAATACTTGAATGAACTGATGCCCATTTTGCCTTAAAATCCAAGTCTTCTAAAATGTTATACTCTAATCAGTCCATTTGAGGGGTCTCCACCATGGCATCCACCACCAACTTTCCTCGTGCTCACCACGTATTTTTAGAAAGTAGGTGGGGCCAGATGGGGCTTTTGCTCAAAGAGGATTCTAATTGGCCACTGAAGCTTTGATGCAGATTTTTAAAAAATATTGTTTTGGCAGAAGCTACCATCACAGTATATGAGTCTTCACTGTGTGACTGAAGTTAAGCTGTGGCAGCCATTTTGTGTCTCACTTTGCCTTCTGAGGCAGCTATCTTGTGGCAGCCATTTTGTGGCTGTACCCACCATGCTGAGTCAGAATTCCAAAAGTGCCCAGAGCCTCAAAAAGGTAGGGGACTCCTGGTATATTCAATACAATTTCAGCTAATATTCAATTTTTGAGGCACGGTTTGAAATCAAAGTTCTATCTGTTGAAACAAAAAGCAAAGTTCAACCTAACAAAGATTTGATTAACATAGATTTACATTATCTTTCCTGTGGCCACCAGGAGTTCACTGACACCATTTAAAAAGTCATTTTAAAATGCTTTAAGGGCCTGATCCCGACAGGGCCCATGGCACAGAGCTCTTTCCCCCCACTCCACACATTTTCAAGTGCCAAAATGGCCTTAAGATGCCTTAGGACAACAAGGAAGACTATGTGAAAAGCCCTCTCAGTTTTCTATATAGCAATTGTGCTAGCAGAGCAAGAAGGAGAATTATCTGGAGT